AAGGAAGGAAGGAAGAAAAAAAAGAAAGAAAGAAAGAAAAGAAAAAAAATCCAGAACATATAAAGATCACATAAATATACATAATATAGCATACATATACACACACACAATATAATATGTATTATTGATGTCGCTTGTGCAAGCATGCAATATAACTTATAATTGATGGACCTATATTTACAGAAAAGATCTTGGCTCTACCTCAAAAGATGTCAAATGATTTTACAAATATTTGTTGCATTGCCATTTTTATGGTCCTATTTTTAAATTTTTAAAATCTTTATGGACACATAGTTGTACATATTTATGGGGTACAAGTGACATTTTGATGTAAACATAAGTGTAATGATCAAATCAAGGTAAGTGGGATATCTGTCACCTCAAACATTTATCATTTCTTTGTGTTGGGGACATTCCAAATCCACTCCTCTAGTTAGGTTGAAATATACAGTATATTTTTGTTAACTATATTTGCCCTGTTATGCTGCCTAACACTAGATCTTATTCCTTCTATCTAGCTGTATTTTTGTACCCATTAGACAACTCCTCTTTATCTCTTCCTCCTCTGATTTTCATGTTAACTGATTTATGGCATCAGATAAGATTTAGGACTTAGAATATTTACATTTTCTGCAGTTTACTTAAATATTCCCTAATATTCAAATAATAATAATATAAATATAATATTTTTATTTTACTATTCAGTGATTTATGCTCTGTATACCAATTATATGTAACATAAAACATGACACTTTAAGATTATACAAATAATACGAATAATTGATGATGGTTGATCAATTAGTAGAAGGATGAGTCATATGCCACAGTTCTTCCGACCTGCATTAGTGGATTGGGCTTGTTGGCTTCTGTCACCAGAAATGTCTCTCTAACATTCTGATATCCATTCTGGCAGACATATAGTGATTGTAATCCCAGGAGAATACTAAACTGTCTCCTATTCCCTGCTGCGTCTCACAAAGTAAAGTTAGAAAAGCAAAAATTAAAGAAACAAACCGCAATTCCAAAATGTCTCAGAAATTTCTACAGAAGTGGTTTTTCCTTTACAAACGACTGCCTTACTCTGGTGTCTACACAATGACTTTATTCATACTTTGTAGTAAAGAACTCAAAAGGAGGACTAGGAAAGGAAACCTTCTTTAATCAAAAGGACTATATGGTTGCTCATAATGCACATCATACAAATCCAGTTCATGTCGAATTAATGTGTCAGTTGTACAGGTGTAATTCAACTGTTGCATTTAAATGGTAATAATATTAACTTTTATTAAACTATTAAGTGTCTCTTGTGCGATCATCAATAGTTTCAAATCATGTTTAGTGACTGTAAATTTTAGAAAATGATATTGAATATGATACTCCCACAAAAGTCAATAAAAGGCACCATTTAAGCTGTTTTTCTTTTTGTTGAAAATCAGGTGAAAACAGTTTCCTCATAAAATTCCTGTTAAGCTACTTTCAGCAAAACCAAAGTCAGTTTTATCAGCGAGGTTAAAAACATGGGCTTTAAAACCCAACAACCTAAATTTGAAGCTTAGATCTTCCCTCAATGCCTAACATATTTTTAAATTTAAATATTTCTGTCTTTAATGTCATTAATAACATATGTGGAAAAATATTATGTGGGAAAAGAATGATTGAAAATCTCTTTCCAAAGACAGGAAGTTTATTGTAAGAAGACTCCCAAAATAGACATAGAGAGTAAGTCTATTCTTCCAATTCTTATCCCCAATTTCCATTTCACAAAACAATTTAGCTCACAATTATAAGAGAAGCCAATTCAAAGAGCAGCAGACAATGAAGACAGACCAGCATGGAAACACGTAACCACTAAAACTATCCATTTAGATAAAAGAGATACTTGTTTAGTTCATGTGACAATGATTTCTTAGTGTCCTAACTGAAAGCAGAAATGGTGTTATGTTTTCTATTTTTATTGGCTTTTCACCTAGAAACTTGAATTCTAAGTATAGCAACTTTTGATGGAGCAACGCTCAGCTACAGAATGTAGAGAATAATAGTTACCAGAAAAGAAAAAAGCTCACAGAGAGTTCTTTTTTTTCCCCCATTTATTTATTTTATTGCACTTTAGGTTTTGGGGTACATGTGAAGAACATGCAAAATTGTTGCATAGGTACACACGTGGCAGTGTGATTTGCTGCCTTCCTCTCCATCACCTACATCTGGCATTTCTCCCCTTGCTATCTCACAGAGAGTTCTAAAAGGAATTTTCATCCCCCTGTCTTCCCCAAAGCTTGATGTGGTGGAGAGATGATCTTGTATCTGATTTCTGACAAGGACACTGAAAACTTATTTAGAAACAGCAATTACAGTATTCAGAGACAAACCAGAGAATGCTTATTTCCTCTTCTTTTTAAATAGAGATCTTTGTGTTTGAAGTCATTAACCTGAGTAATATTTATAAACACGAGATCTTTTTGAAACCAGACATATAAGTTCAATAGTTTTGTTGAGTAAAATATGAATTTATTTTCCTACCAAGGCTGAGCCTCATTCTCCATTCTCACTACACTGAAGTTGCTGGTGTTCACCACTGACAACTCTTCGGCACTTAGCACATATTTTACATCCAATAAATAATGAAGGAATAAATCAGTTAATGAAATGAATGGAAGCAAAGTAGGTACAAGATATCAAGAGATACAAGCTTGCCATCTAGTGATAACTTGGTAAAATAAACATAAAAGATTCCCAGAACAGGAAAACGGTAATAAAGTTTAGAGAAAACATGACTTCTAATGGCAGAACAGGTGTGCTTGGCCAACCTTGCCACTGCAGGCTTCACGTACTGTGACGTACACATTGTTTAAAAGATATCAAAATAAAGTGATATATATATGCAGATCCTTACTATGAAGACTTTCCTGGCATAAGAAATCATAAAGTAAGGAAAAAACCATTAAATATAGTGACCTACAAATATGGTGCTAGGCAGTGACAAGACCTGTTTTTCTCCTATATAATTTATTAAAGCCATACTTTAAATTTTTAAAAATGTTATGGTGTGCTGGCCAAAGGTTTTAAGATTCTGCCTCAGAAAACAAGCAGTGCTATTCTCTCTCATCTAAATTCAGTTTGTGTCTTGCAGCTCATTAATAAACCATACTCCACTCTGCCTAAAACTGCACGTTAAACCAACTGTATTCCATCACTTCAATGTATGTCAACAGGAACTTACTGTCAGCTTGAAGAACAAAATTCTTTTCTTTTTCCTCACATCTGTCAAATGAACCAAGCGTTTCACATTCTATACGCATTTTTAGTTTGGAGCATTTACTAGAACCTTCTTCAGAATTATTTATTTATTCATTTGTGGTCTTATGGTCTTTGAAGAACTTCTCATGTTTTGCTGCTCCTCTACTATTCTACTTTACAAAGATAAAGCAAAGAGCCATTCTTTAATCCATGCTTAAAGTAGAAAGTTAGTGAATGAATAAATGCAAATATAATAGCACTTCCACTTTCAGGTTGGAGCCCCCTCTCAGGAGGCCTCCTTTAAACTTTGCTCCCACTGATGGTACGGGAGCGTTAGCACTCAGTATTATCATGATCTTTACTCTTCTATAGTTTCTCTAGCAGAGGCCAGTAATAATAATAACAGATCTGTCATGAAGAATCAGCAGTTGTATTCAAACAGAGAAAATAAAAAATTTTAAAATATACTTTTTCATGGTACAGGCATAATTTACCTACAAAGCACAAGCAATTCTCTTTTTGAATTAAAAAATAATGATCAGAAAGAAGTTGCAAATAAGGACGAATTGCTCTCACTGGGAGTCCATGTGATCCAGTTATGAGCACAGTGCTGGGAAGACCAGGGCCTTTCCAGAGGCCGGCCTGACCTCCTGGCTAAGGGAAGAAGTCTGCAGTGGAGTGTGTTACCGCTTTGCCAGCGGTAGGTGTCACACACAACTAAAGGAAAAGGGCAGAGGAGCCGGAAAATAAGCCAGTCACAGAAAAAGGAACTAAATATTATAAAACTATACTCACACATTGTATAGGGATCAATGCTGAGCAAAGGAAGCTAAAGCCCTGTATTCCTTGTGTGAGTTCATTTACTTCTGCATACTTCTATGTATGTGCCACAATACATTCAAAAAAAGAAGTCCCAAACTAAAAGCTCCAAACATCTTGTGAGTGAAAAAGTACTGTACATGTATTTAGCTTGAAAGCCAAGACAACAGGGCTGAAGATCATCAGTCACTTGTACTCACTGTGGTGGTGGTGGTGACCTCCTCAGTCACAACCTTCAGGGTGTCGACCACGGAGATGTAGCCCAGACGCTTAGCAATCGCCAAGGCAGTGTTGCCATTCTGAAGAGAGAGTGAAAGAAAGAGAGTGAGAAATGAGAGAGCCGACTGCGATGTGAGCCAATGAGCTCACCCGCTGCTCTGCATGAGCCAGCATTTCCTTCCAAAACAAGGCACAGCTTAGGAAAATCACTAGTTTTTACCATTACGTCTAAATCTGTCTTTGTAACTTCTTCAGACTATAGCCCAGGTCACCATGGTAACACAACAAGCTTGCATCTGCTTGCTCTTTTTAATAAGAAGCACTTGATGCTTTAACCCTAAGGTTGTCAAATATCTTCTACAAACACTGTATTGCGCTTAAGAAAGTGCCTCTTGACACCTCCAAAACCTGTTAACAAGTACCAGGTACACTCATCCCCCATCAGAGGTCAGGCCATCTGCTGCAGGTAAGATGTTACCATAGGGAGCACAGTAACATATTTAGCTGCAGCTGTGCAGAAGTTCACTATGCAGCAAAGTAACACAAGCAAGCAATTCAGGCTGCATCCAGCCCAGGCCACGGGAGATCCCAGTTTGTTTAATTGCACCGCTTAGTTTACATTTCAATGGCTCCACAACCCAATGAGCTTTGTTTAAGCTAGAAGCTCCCTTACTGTGCTCCCTTAAGAAGGCGGCGGGGCGGGGGAGGAGGGTCAATTTGTGCTCACATCTGAGAGCCAGCTGTAAGCAGAGCACGTTCCAGCAGCCCAAGAGGAGGGCCCCCTCTCCAGAGAGAGCCAACGAGTCAGGCTGACTGCGTTCCCTCCCAGGGCAAGCACTTCTGGGGAAGTCACACTGACTTCTGGAAAGCCTGTCTAAAAATCTGGGGCTTTCCAGAGTCCAGGGGGCTTATTTAAGGAATAAGGCTCACTGAGTGAATCTGACCTCACTCAGCTCAGACAGGAAGCCACCAGGGCAGGGGAGGAAAAAGGAGAAAGCGTGGTGAGGGGCAGCGGCGTCTGCCTTACCGCGGTGGTGGCGTTGGGCTTGGCCCCATGCTGGAGCAGGACGTTGATGATGTGCGTGTGGCCCTGCTGCGCGGCCTGGTGCAAAGGCGTGTAGCCGTTCTGTGAAGGACAGTGGCGGTGGGCCCAGCACCCGATTTGCAGAGGGAGAAGAAAATTAGGTTAGCCTTCATTTTGAATAGTCTTATTTACGACGAAACCATTACGGATGCTTTATTTGGAATCCAAGATAATCAGCAACCCATTTCTCACAGCAAACACTCCCTCACACCTTCTGGTCTGCTAAACAAAGAGAAGAGAGCAGCCGATGAAACAAGATTCACATAATCCAAATGAGAACTGTTAACACATTTTAACCAGTTAGCAGTAAAAATGAGGGCTCCCTTAAAAGATGAAAGGGGTGGGTGCCATCGACTTCTGCTCACATCTGAGCTGAAAAGAGAGATTTAAAATAAGAAACAGCATGATCCCTGTGATTTCTTCCCTGAGAAACAGGTAAGAGTAAAATTGTTTTTAAATGAAGGCTGCAGAGGGTCATATAAACCACTGTCTGCTCATCATGACTCTCCTAATACTTAACCTTAGGGATTCTAAATCATCAAAAGTAAATCTAGATTTTATATTCCTTTCCAAGAACAGCTTTTTTCCCCATTTCAGACAAGATGAAACTGAAAATAAGAAAGTTAAGTAATTTCTCCACAATCAGTCGAGGTTCAGATCCTATGCAGAAGACCATGACAGCCAATGGCTGTCAGACAATGGCTATTTTTTTTTAATCCAAGGATTATAAATTGTTCTATTATAAAGACACATGCACACATATGTTTTTTGCAGCACTGTTCACAATAGCAAAGACTTGGAACCAACCTAAATGCCCATCAATGATAGCCTAAATAAAGAAAATGTGGCACATATATACCAAGGAATACTATGCAGCCATAAAAAGGATGAGTTCATGTCCTTTGCAGGGACGTGGATGAAGCTGGAAACCATCATCCTCAGCAAACTAACACTAGAACAGAAAACCAAACACAGCATGTTCTCACTCATAAGTGGGAAGTTGAACAATGAGAACACATGGACACAGGGAGGGGAACATCACATATTGGGGCCTGTCGGGGGTGGGGGCCCAGGGAGGGATAGCCTAATATAGATGACAGGTTGATGGGTGCAGCAAACCACCATGGTACATATATACCTACGTAACAAACCTGCACGTTCTGCACATGTATCTCAGAACTTAAAAGTATTAAAAAAAAAAAAAATCTATCTGCCTCACCACTTGTAATATTTTATCTACATGTTTCAGACCCAATCGTCCTGGGCTCTAAGTTCTAAATGGCCCTTTTATACTCTAAGGTTTTAAGTGTACATATCCCTTTTATACAATGTCCCTGCTGCCCTGTGACCAACATACATATTTGCTTGCTCTGTCTACTATATGTGTGGGTGCTACGTGATTTCTTTTATAAATTCATTGTACTCTTTCTGCCCATAGGAACATGCCCATATGTGTCGAGGTCTACCTACGTGTCCCTAAGTGTGACCCTTCCTCAGCTCTGTCATGTTGGAAGTCTTACGTCTGCTTATAAATCCCTACAATGGGATGGCCCCAGGAAACCTGGAAATATAAATCAATTACAGGGACTCCGAGAAGCCTTTGACTATTGCAGGGACTCTGCTGCCAAATCAGATAATCCATGGACATTTAAAGAGAATACACTAAGTGATACTTCTTTTCGTAAAAATTCTTCCTATTCATTGTGTTTACAGTGTCTTATCCACTGAATTTAGTTCATCTCTTCAGTATCAGCCAAGTTAATTCATTCAACAAGCATTTACTAATTACACACTATGTGCTAAATAACTTAGCGTATAAATTAATAAAATAATATACCCCTATGACATATTAATAAATTTAAATTATCTATAAATATATGTAAATTAATAATGCCAAAGCAACATTCCTGCCCTCAATAGATCAGCAACATTCCTGCCCTCAATAGATCAGCGGACATTTTGGCCACAGAAATGTTCCCTAGTCCTGATTTAATCTAATCTTTACCTGAAATCTCCAGTGAGTATATTTGCCAGGTAAGTCTGGAGCAATTCAAGTGTTTACATAAACATTTGGTTGACTCTTAATCTACTGTCATAGGCCCATCTGTCTAAAAGCTCTCGACCCAGTTCTACCAATTATTTGCAAATCCCTAATCCTCTCTAAACCCCAATTTCCTCATTTGTAAAATGGGAATGGCCAAGATTTCAAGCTTGGTGAAGGATCAGATAAGTTGTTCATGAATATGTTTTCTTTTCTAGCTTGGAAAATTTTAGCAAATGCTTTGGTGTTTTGATTATTTTTTTCTCATTGAAGAGCTCTATAATCTCCACAGTGTCTTTAATAAAAAAATTTTTTTATATGCTGTTCTAAACCCTCTTCACAAATTAAATATATATTTAACCAGGTCTGGTTCGCCCCAAGCTGCTGTAACAGGGTTTTCTTCTAATCTTAAGCAACAAATAGTCTTATAAAGTTAGTTCCTTTTTCCAAATATTTTATACCATATCATGGGAGTTTAGGAATTAAGTTAATATATATGTTTATATTTTTAAAGTAATGAAACCATTTTTAGTAGCTACAGCTAAGATATAGCTACAGCTTAACTACAGATAAGATCTGAGGAAGAAAACCTGATTCCTTTCTCAAGGATGTCATTTTCACCTGAAAAAAAAAAAAATCTGAAGAGTTCATTAAAAGATTGTGCTTTGAGTTTTGTGTCTATTTCCCTGAAGATATATGGTTCGAAATGTAACGGTCCAAGTAACAGTTTACTTAAAAAACAAAAAACACAAAAACTGAAATGATAAAATGAGATTTTTCTTTCAATCAAATCTTCATTCAATGCAGATCAAACTCCAGGGAGACCATTGATATTCTCCAGACAATATAGTGTTTGCCTTCTAAATATTATAACCGTTTCAACAATGAAACATTTAAAGATATGACAGGCATTTTCAAGCCCTGCCAACATCTCACTGTATTGTTACATTTGTTCATTTTGAGAGAATACTTGGATTACAAGAAAAAATGTCTTTCCTGGAGTCCTTATATCGGAGCTGGCTCAGCAGAAAAGGTATTAGGAACTAATGCCTGAGAATTCATATTAGAGGCTTTAAATAAGTCTCAAGGTACAATTTCATGAGAACTTAAAAACCAATCAGAAACTAGGCAGCAGCTATTCTTGCTAGAGTAAGATTATAAGTTTGAATCTTAAATGTTAATAGTATTATTTATAGTTTAAAAATAAGTTTGTTTTAAATTAGCTATAAACATGCTTATGTGTAGAAATGATTTTGTTTCAGCTTCTAAGAGAATACCTGACTTATAAAACTTCTGTATATTTTTAATTTATAGAATCTTGAATGATGGCTTTGGAAAGTCCTGAATGTGCTCACACTCATTTACTTGAGCCCAATCAAATAGCTGTAATTAGAAATTTCTGGGCCAGGCTTGGTGGCTCACAATGTAATCCCAGTACTTTGGAAGGCTAAGGCAGGAGAATTTCGCTTGAATCCAGTTCGAGACTAGCCTGGGCGACATGGTGAAACCTCATCTCTACAAAAACATTTAAAAATTATCTGGGCATGGTGTTGCACACCTGTTAGTCCTAGCCAGTGCTGAGGGAAGAGAATCACTTGAGCCCAGGTTCTAGGCTGCAGTGCGCTCTGATCATGCCACTGCCCACTGCATTCCAGCCTGGGCAACAGAGTAAGACCCTGTCTCCAANAAAAAAAAAAAAAAGAAAAGAAAAGAAAGAAAAGAAAGAAAAAGAAAAGAAACAGAAAAAAGAAAGAAAGAAAAGAAAAAAAGAAATTTCTGATATATGACCTTTAAAAAAAGTGCAAATAAACATTTCTTTGGACCAAAGAACTTGGAGCTGCAAGTTGTATTATGTATAACGGCCATGGTTATAGTATGCACTTCTCTTCACCTTGAACCAAATCTAATTCACTGAAGTAAAGTGTTATGTTCTGGCCTTGCTTTGCTGAATAGGAACTTTTGAATGCCACTAGGGAAACTGTTGGGATCAAGTCAGCTGTGCATTATCCTTGAGAACTTCCAGCCCAGGCCTTATACATTATTGCCTCACTGAGCATGACCACGTGATGTTCTGAATGTGACAGAGTTCATTAAAAATGAAAAGCATTGCAGCCATCAAAAACGATGAGTTCGTGTCCTTTATAGGGACATGGATGAACCTGGAAACCATCATTCTCAGCAAACTGACACAAGAACAGAAAATCAAACACCTCATGTTCTCACTCATAGGCGGGTATTGAACAATGAGAACACATGGACACAGGGAGGGGAGCAACACACACTGGAGTCTGTGTCGGGGAAACAGGGGAGGGACAGCAGGGGGTGGGGAGTTGGGGAGAGACAGCATGTGGAGAAATGCCAGATATAGGTGATGGGGAGTAAAGCAGCAAATCACACTGCCATGTGTGTACCTATGCAACAATCTTGCATGTTCTTCACATGTACCCCAAAACCTAAAATGCAATTTTAAAAAAAACTATTGTATATAAATAATAGGTTTTAATGGACTAATAATTAAAATGTAATAAAAAGTAACTTTCAATAGTATGCCAAAAACTGTATGTTTGAATTAACTAATAACTTCAATAAATCATTGCTATCTTATTGAAAAAAGACAAAAAAAATGAAAAGCATGCAGTCTAGACTGCTCGTCTGTATTTCTTCATGAGAGGATAAGGAGTCAGGGGCTGGGGGGCAAGGCCCTGAAACAATATAAAGGCAATCTGCCAGGACATCAAGATGTTCTAGCCGGCATCTACTGTGTCCTGCAGTAAGTTGTTAAATCAATGTCAGCTATTTTAAGTTTATGTAGTTCTGAAGCTAACCTGCATGGTTGTCAAAGGTTATTAGAATGAAAATTCTCAAATAATTACAAAACTACATCACCTCTTCAAAATCACTTTAGATGAACTAAAAAGGAAAAAATAAATACACTTGTAACTTTGGCTAAGTAATGAGGCATCCAGATGGCTGAACCTTTTTTGCTTGTAGGAATTGAAAATGACAAGTATTTTACCTTGGTTTTTGCATTAACATTTGCTCCCTGTTTCAGAAGAAAGTTGACCATTTTCACATTTCCGTAGTGACAGGCCACGATTAAAGGTGTGTAACCAAGCTGTAAACAATAATAAAAAGTTAGAAATAGATAAAGTAGAAACTTTACTACTCTAGTGCTTAATACCCCAGAGGAGAAGGACTGGGCAGAGTTCAGAGAATTCGGTTTGACTAAAGATATTATTTAGTAGATTATATATGAACCCTTGACCACAAGGAACTTCATATCAGCAAGAGAGATCAGACATGGGTGACTTAATCTGCAAAGAACTAAGAGAGAGGCACAAATAATATCTGAAAACAGCAAATACAGAATGACTCTGATGGGAGATGCAGGAAAGATGTAGCTATAGCAGGCTTAAAAAATGGGTATGAATTTTATGGCATAGAGAGGGAAAACCCATTTCCAGACGAAGGGCATGGAGACAAGCAAATACATGAGGAACACAGCAAGTCATGTGAACTAGCTAAAGCAGTAAGGGAGAGGGTAGACTTAAGTCTGCAAAATTGGAGTCTTCCTGCAAAGGGTCCTGACCCCATGCTATCCATTGGAATTGATTCCAGCAAAAAAATGGGGACCCGCCATAGATTTGTGGATAGAAGAGGGTTATGATTAGTTTATATTTTAGAATGAACTCTTGAGGAGGGAAGACACTGGACACGGGGTGACCCAAATGGGGGCTACTTGGAATCATCCCAGCCAGAACCTGTCACACTATTGACAATGATTTGCTTTACCTTTGTATGAGCATCCTGATCAGCTCCATGCTTCGTAAGAATATCAGCAACATTCACTTTATCTTCCTGGGCTGCAAGGTGTAAGGATGTGAGTCCACTCTACAAAAAGAATGGAACCAAAGGGATTCATTTGAAGAAGAAAATAAATTGCATCATCTATAATATTACGATAAAATAGTGAAAAAATTCCAGAAAACACATAACCTCTTCCCAGAAACCACATCTTCTGATATTTAAGGCAAACTGTCTAAATTTTTGATGTTTCATCTAAGATACATCCTCTAAGTCAATCAACATTTCAGGCAAATTAGATTTTCCATTTTCCGTGTTGGGTATTTATATTATGATGTGAGGCTTTAAAATAGCTCAGCTAATAAGCTTTCAAATGACATTTATTTCAAATCCATCTGGATCTCCTGCTGTACCAACTTATTTATTTAAATAACTGATCAGCCAATATTACACCTATTTTATAAGCAGAATAATCATCCATATTTTATCAACAAAATATCACATCAGTGTAAAAAAACGGACAGTTACAGGAAATGAGTACAGAAAAACTGTCTCCAGCACCCAAAGAGAGTATTCTTTTCAGGAGACTCCTCTAAACATTAACTTAAAGTAACCTCATTATTTATATAGCACCATAAATTGCCAAGTTTTATGCAACGTGTTTGGTGTACATACACCAAGTAATTATTTGGTTTATTTGACTATGCAATTAAAGTATAGTAATGAATTAATTTGAAAAGGAAGACATGGTGAAAAGAGGGGAAAAGTGGTTTATTCAGTCAATGCCACACTCTGGTGGCCTTACTACATAATTTGCATTTAACAGGTGTTTTCTTGAGTGTGTTTCATATGTCATGAACTGTTCATATTCTAGGAACTTGAACACAGCAGTAAACAAAAGTTTCTGTCTTTATAGAGCTTACATTCTAGCTTATAGTCTGTTTATACCATATATCTCTCTCCCTCCACTATTGCTCACATGGCTAGCATATTTATGCTCTTCCTGGACATACTGCAGCTATAGACTGAGATGACTACCCGGGCTCTGAGTCAGCACCTCTTCCCCAGTTCACATCTGATTAAAATCAACCACCCCTGTTGACCACTGCTTTTTAGGTCCACTCTCCTGCATTAGCACTTAGGCTGAGAAAGCTAAGCCATATTCTTCAAAATTCATGATCTCCAGCCATGGTGCTACTTCTGGAAATCAAAAAGTACACTGACCTTATTCCAAAAATGGAAGTGAAACATACAGAGAGAAACCCATTCTACAACTTGAGAGGAGGCTTTTTACTTGTGGGCCTGGGGCTTTTTAATCCTTAGAGCTCTGGGTGAGCTCACCTTTGAGTTTCATAAAACACAGCGTGAGACAGAAGACATATATCCTTTTTCTATTAAAATTTCCATCACTTCTAAACAAATATTATATAATCCTATTGTATAAAACAACTGAATATTAGGATACAATAAGATTGTTTCTTATCTCCTTTCTAAAATAACAAACATAAGAATATTTCTTTTTACAGAGACAGTCTATTTAAAAATATTATTGATCATTACATGAAGTGATCATCAAATCTCAAAAACATTTTTGATGACTTTTTTAATGTGTGTACTTTTTTCTACTCTATTTGCAGAATGGATTTTCTGCAGTGCAAGATTCCAAACTAACAACCGGTATAAAAATCTCTGCAGTTTATTGCGGTAAACTTGCATATCCAACTCGAAAGATGTAAACCTGCAGTGTATATAGGTTTTTGTCCACAGTTGCTATCTCATAACTTTGACAGCCCTTGTTACAGTCATTTGTCACAACACCATGTGTGTTAGCCTCAGGGGCAAGCCTCAGGAAACAAACTATCTCCCACCTTCTCCTGGCCTCCTTTCGCTTCCCCCAAGCTAGACTCCAATCTTCCCCCCAGCATTTGTGGGTCATAAGACCCTCCTGAGAGAGAGTCCTACCCCATACCCTTGGGGGAATGAATGCTGATGTCATGAAGCTTCCATAAAACCCCAGAGGACAGGGTTCAGGGAACTTCTGGTTAGCTGAACACATGGAGCTTCCTTGTGGAGGGTGGTGCACCCAGGAAGGGCATGAAAGCTGTACGCCTTCCCTCATTCCTTCCCCTATGTGTCTCTTCAGCTTCATCCTTTGTAATAGCCTTTATAAGAAACTGGTAAATACAAGTATTTCTGTGAGTTCTGTGAGCCACCCCAGTGAATTAATGGAACTCAAAGGGAGTGTCCTGGAAACCCCAACTTGAAGCCAGTCAATCAGAAGTTCAGAGGCCCAGACTTCTGATGGTGCCTGTGCAGAGGGTAGTCTTGGGGACTGAACCCTGAACCGAAGAGCTCTAACGCTCTTTCCAGATAGACAGTGTTGGAACTGAATTGGAGGACACGCAGCCGGTGCGTGCTGCTTGGTATGCGGGGAAAACCTCTCCACATTTGGTCACAGAAGTCTTCTGTGTTGATGATTATTGTGTGGTTGTGTGAGAATACAGGAAAAACACTGTTTGAAAGGTTTCTGGGGAAAAAAAAAAAAAGAAAATACAAAGTGTTGAAGGAGTTCTTTTCAAAAAAAGTAATTAATTTCCTAAGATACATGGGTGAACTCAAAAACTAACCTTTATTTTATTTTATTTTATTACAGATGGTGGTTGGATAATGAATATAATTTCTATATTATAGTCCTTAATGAGAAATAATCATTTGGAGGGTATGAACCTATTGATTTCAGTTGGCCTTAAAAAGATAAAGAATGTGTCTTCTCTTCAAAAGCAATGGGAAAATTTTTTAATCGGTTTTGGTTCTCATCTGAGATATTTTTACAGTTGCATTATCTTATAATTCTATCCAAAAGGCAAGGTTATAGGTTTTATATGTAAAATTTTGTATATTGTATTACTATTCAGATATATCTGAGAAAACTTACTAAAGTTTTACTTTAGTGATGAATACACTATGTGTTTAGGACACCACTCAAATGTAATAATGAAATCACTGTTACTCTGTGATTCAAAATTGAATGTTTTTCTTCATTGCTAAGCGTGCAACTCAAAAATACTCATTAAATATTTGATAACTGCCAAAACTCTCTCAAAGAAAGTAATGTATTTAGAAGAATACCATAAAGGAGGGAATACTGAAGTGATTTCAATATGTATCTGTCATTTTTATAAATTAAAGATAACACCATCAGAAGCACTGTAAGATCAGTTTCATGAACTAGCTGGAATTTTACTCCTACGCAAAATACTGCTGAATTTGTTTATGGATTTCTTTGGCTTATTTTCAAATGAAGATTTGTTATTAATAAACATAAGCCCCTTCATACACTAATATTAAATAAAATATTATATGCTTCATGATCAGATTTTCCCCAACAAGGTAAATGACCATCTGAATGACATGACTTCAGTAGTCACAAGGACATCCATGTCCTGGACTGTAATGATTGTCCATCTGATACAACGAATTTCACTATAAGGCTTTATGGTGTTTGTTCTTGTAAAAATGCAAATATCCTTTGGAAGACTAACCCTACGATTTGCTCTCAACATACTTTAAAGAAGGATTTGTGGGGACTTTTTATAAAGGCCAGAAAAGTACGTAAGGGCAGGGGAGGTACGGGAACACTTTTGAGTTCCGGAAGTATTCAAGGCAAGCTGCCTGTTTCATAGCTCTTCCTAAAGGATATATGCTACATAACCTACTTACAAATGTCATTAAGACCAACTTATCACTGATACTTTAAAAGTATCAATCAACAGTGAAATGTAGAAAACATAAGGTATTTGTACATTTGTGGAAAGAGCTAAGAAACTTAATTTTCACTAAGTCCAGACAACGTATTACAAAAAGCAACAAGACATCAAATGACAAACTAACTTAATAAATACAGGTTCAAATTGTATTTATTCTAACTTAATAAATACAGAATTCCAAAACAATTCTGTTTCTCAGCAGCTGGCTATAGCAGAGTATATATAAGTGTAAGACAGAAAGTTAGGTGGATCTATAGATCTATATGTAGATGAATGGATAGATTTATTGGAAAACATGTACTTGTAAAAATATATGTTTATACATTTGAATATTTTTCCCTTATATTTTTGACTGCCATTCTGTCATAATTAATGTGGAGGCCTACAAAGGCCAGTCCCTGGAAAAAGGCTAAAATGATTGATGTGTCTTATTAAAAAAACAAAAAAGATTTTCTCACCACCACCACCAAACCCCTCAAGCTAGGCTTATGTTGACTCAAAAAAAATCTATATTTTACTGAGTTTCCCACCTCCTATCCAGAGGCCTCTGATGCCCAGCAGGGCCAAAGAATGCCTTGGGTGGCAGACATGGGCCTGCCAGCTTAGAGGCAGCTGTTTAAGCTGAACCCCAGATGGAACCATTCTTTCTCTATGTATATCTGAAATTTGGAACGAGGAGCAGCAGACACTGGAGCAATTATAGTGATGTTAACATTGGGAGCTATAGGGCAGCCTCTTTAGACACACACATGGAGAAGCAAAGAAAGCAGGGCTATACAGATCAATGAGACTCACAAAGAAAAGTCAAGAAGCAAAAATGTTGCCATACAGAGAGTCTCTCCCTTGTTCCCTTATGGTTTCCTAATCTCTCATATGGCTTGACTCCCTTCCTGTCCTTGGGGTCTGTAAGATATCCTTGTTTCTTTTTAACACATTGCTCCTTTTGTTCCAAATTATCTGTGATTGGTTCCTGTTTACATGCATCCAAAACATCTTGATTGAAGCAAGAGGCAAGGACAGAATACCTTGGTTGACATATGGATATTGGCTCCCTTATCCAGAAGCAAGGTAACCATGTCTGTGTGCCCCTCCTGCGAGGCCAGATGGAGTGGCGTTACTCCTTGCTTTGTCACAATGTTTGTCTCTGCTCCATAGTTTAGGAGTGTGGAAGCTATCTGCATTTGATTCTTCTTGGCAGCAATATGTAACGGAGTATAGCCATTCTAAAGAAAACAAAAACACATGCATATAGAGTAAGATTAACAGTTGCTCTAATATGTATCTCTAAAGGAAATAAAAATCTCAAATCAACTGAAGAATTAAAAATGAGTTTACAGTTAATTCAAACTCGTACTCATCATGTTTCCATCCAACAATAACCAAATCTCTACAATAAAAGTCATAAGGTACCCCATTCTACTGTAAAACAGATAGAAACATTAAAGCACCAAAGCTGAAAATTCTTTTCTTATAATGTTGGTTCCCTCCTGAAGAGCAACATAGAATAACCCAGGTTCCTCTTCTACATGACTATCCTTTAAATACCCGGGGATAGTTTTCATATCCACCTTTAGCCTTCTCTTTTCCAAGCTAATTTTCTCCATTTCTTCAACTAGTCCTGGTGGAAGTGCCATTTCTACATCTCTCCCTATAACGATGACCTGTTCTGAGCTGATTCTAGCGTGTCAATATTGTTCTTGAATTGTGTGTGCTACCTGGAACCAAGGCTGTACTTCAGATGTGGTTATGACAGTACTGAATAAAATGGAATTACGTCTGTCATCTTACTAGAATACTCAAACTAATATGCTTCTGATTGGATTGTACTTTAACGTGGTTCTATAAATATTACTGAGTGCCTAGCATATGCCAAGCAGTGTGCTAGGTGTGGGAATACAATGGTGAACATGACATAATCCTTGTCTTTAATGGATTGCGTTCTAATTTAAAATATATTAAACAACAAAATTAGCTTATATTAATCTTGTGGTCCATTCAAATCCTAGATCTCCCCTTCTTCATATCCCCTGCTGCTTCAAAAGTAGAAATATGAGGCTACTCATTTTGGGTGGGAGTTTGTGGAAAGGACCAGAATAACTCATGCTCTGCTTACAAGAACAGAGAACTCTAAACCCCATACTTAGCTAAAAGAAAAAAAAAAATGTGGAACAATTGTAAGTCTGCAGTATATATTATTTTCTTTCCTTTTCGTTAAAAAATCTGGTAGAATTTTCCAGTCAAATTAAAATTCAAAACAGTGGCTTTGCCATTAACAGTAGTTTTTCCCTTCAGTGACATGCTGAAGGGAAAGACAGTATAATGATCAAGTGCTTCTTGTGCGATTACCATGAGAGGTTTGTTTGTTTGTTTGTTTGGACAAGGTATGGCTTCATCGCCCAGACTGGAGTGTAGCGGTGTCATCTCAGTCACTGCAATCTTCACCTTCCGGGCTCAAGCAATCCGCCCAACTCAGCCTCCTGAGTACCGAGGACTCTAGGCACACGCCACCAGGACTGGCTAATTTGTTTGTATTTTTGGTAGAGATGGGGTTTCGCCATGTTTCCAGGTTGGTCCCAAACTCATGAGCTCAAGTGCTCTGCCCACTTCGGTCCCCCAAAGTGCTGAGATTACAGACTGGAGCCTGTAATCAATACATGAGGGGCATTTTCAGGTCATGCTATTTCCTTAATGTTAACTACCAAGTGTACCAAAAAATAAAAAGGCATTTTAAGAATCTAAATGTCTTTATATGTCATCATCAAATCTTGATCCTCATAGGACCCTACATTATCTACTCTGTCCCCATTTCTCCAAGCAAGAATAAGTATCTTTCATCTTTGACAAATATTTTCTTTCCCTGACGCAACTGAAGGAAATTCAGCTTGGAAGTCTTTTTCAGGGTCTGATCAGAGGTCTCACATGCTTCAATTGCTTTAGAATATTGTATTTGTGTCCATAGGCTCTATTGAAAAAGAGACACATTGATTTTTGTGGGCCAAATGAATTTAGTTAACTTCTTTTTGCTACAATGTGTTTCTTTAGTTTCAATTACCCCCTTCCTACAGTATGGACTCTACCAAGGTTAGGTAAAGGGATGTTTTAGCAAAACAACATAAGTGATCATGAAAGAAGGTGTCAATTCTGGCAATGGATGAGGTTTGTCTAGTAGATACTCAACCTACAAGAGCTAAAGGGCCTTTTTACTCCACAAAGAGTAAATGGTTTGGGACTCAAATAACTGTAGCACTCCCAAGGAAGAATAAGAGAAGGTTCTAGACTCTGGTGGAAAGAATCAAAATTCTCATGGTCGGAGGACTGTGTGTGTTGAGGAGAGGGGTCGTTATAATGAGCAGAAAGAGTCTAAAGTGGAGACCACAGCGGGGATCATACCACCTGGAGCCCTCTAGGAGGGGCCCCAAAGCTGAGAGGCTCATGTTCAATGACAGGCTGGGCAGATGAGTGAAAGACACTAGAGAGGCCTTCCCAGAACACCCATCCTACCGTGGACTCTGGAGTAGAGAAATGCTTTACATCATCTTCAGAGCTCAGTATGTGCACGCCTGAGAGTACCATACAAGGTAGAGGCTAGAGATCAAAGCTGTGTTTGTCTCTTTAGGAAAACCATACACATTATTTTATAATTTAGGTCTTCTCTTGTAAGTAGATTAAGAGTCCCTTGTGGAATGAAAACACATCTTTTACAGTTTTACCTCCCATTGAGTGACTATAATCCTTTCTTTACACATTATAAGAGTTCAATGAAAGTGCTCATGGGTACTGATGAAATCTTTTGTATCTATGTTAAGAAGCTTATCCTGGATAGCTAATGAAAAAAAAATGCTGGCATCTTAAGTGAGCAGGTATTTTTTTATTCCATAACTACTCAATCTTCATTCTTTCATCCAAATTTATTGAGAACCCATATAATATGGTATTGAACACCTCAGTGATATGCACATGAATATGATATGAATACTCCTCAAGTGGCTTATAATCTAGTTTGAAGAAAGACATAAAATATGTGCAGAATTGATGAGGAGGTTGTAGGAAAAAGAGCAATAAGAACAGTGTGGATAACTGAAAATTTGGCACCCTCTTTTTACAATTAGAGTACTTTATTATAAACTGTTCATTGGCATCAAAAAGATATAAATATTTGTAGATGTATATGTATATGTACACATATGTATAAAGTTATATATTTATGATATATGTAACATGTTATATATAAAATATATATTTACACAGAACATATTTTATGTATATATCCCATTTTATATTTATCATATGCATAATTTAAATAGGCATGAGTATATATATGTATATATTTATATAATAAAAGTGGAATAAATCTCTCTATATTGCTTTGGGACACAAAGGATCTAGTGGTTAAGAGCACCAACTCTAAAGTCAGTCTGCCTGAGGTCAAACACAGGTATAAGCTGTAACACTTATAATTCATATGACTTTGGAAAATTAACCTACTTAAATCTCACTTCTCATCTGCAAAATGGAGATCATTAGAATACCAGTCTCATGGGATTACTATGAGATATTGCCTGTAAAGTGCTAGGCATGGTGTTTAGCAAATAAATGGTGGCCATTGCTTTATTATGTTGTCTAATACAGCATAAATATTTTCCCATCACATATATATATATATATTTGAGACGGAGTCTCGCTCTGTCACCAGGCTGGAGTGCAGTGGCGCGATTTTGGCTCACTGCAACCCGAGTAGCTAGGACTACAGACCCGCACCACCACACCCAGCTAATTTTTGTATTTTTAGTAGAGATGGGGTTTCAATCTCTTGACCTCGTGATCCACCCACCTCGGCCTCCCAAAGTGCTGGGATTGCAGGCGTGAGCCACCATGCCTGGCCATAATCAATATTTTTTAAATAACCCTGATATGTTCTCAAAATAGTTTTGCTGAATTAATGAACGGAAGATGCAATAAGGACTTTATGTATTATATAGTGTTCATATATATTTTCAGTGTAATAAGGTGCCAACTAGGGTGGTGGGAAATGCCCTGTCCATAAGTACAGGTCTTAGTTTTGGAATTTGGTGCTGTATACATATACACAAAAAAGGCATACCCCCCATCCCCAAGTCTAGGGACCTAGAGGGATCCATGCTACATTTAACACAGATAAAACATTTTTAAAAAACAAAGAAACAAATAGAAGTTTGAAGTCTGAAAGAATAAGAGTATAAAAGGACATTTTTATCATAGCATTTGGTCTATAGGAGAGAAGGGAAAACATGTTAATGACCCTATTTCTCATTTCTCAAAATTCAGACATCATTCTCTAACACACAGAATGTTAGCAATAAGATTCATCTCTACTGGTTTATAGGAACATGCCCTTAATATTTGCTGACTCTTTAAAAAATCTTAAAAGGTTTTCTAGATGCAACTGGTAGAAATACAAGAAAAAAAAAAGATGTCAATACCAAAAGCTACTATTGCTAGGACTAGTCTCACTTATACTATACCATGTATTTAAATGACAATTCTCATGTCTTTTCAGGTGATCGTTACACCCTATGTCTGTAAATCCTTTTCTGTGGTCCTCACCTTGGCAGTGGCATGAGGGGAAGCACCCTTCTCCAGTAACAGCAGCGCCACCTTCTGGTTGTCATAATGAGCAGCAACATGGAGCGGGGTAAGGCCATTCTGTAAAGGGTGTGTTTAAGTTTCAGCATTAATAAATTAGGGTTAGCTGCCCTGATGCTACCAGGATGCCTGGATATTGATTAAGTTCATGTTAATGAATTAATATAGTCAATAGAAAAAAAAGAATAAAGATAAACAAATCCCTAATAATTTTCATATTAAAACCATAAATAAAGTTGAAAATGATTGAGCATATCACCAGCAAAGGGCATCTTGATGGTCACAATGTATAAAGGTCTAAACTGCTATGTAAGAAATACTATATTAACATTGCAGGAATTCTTCTTAATATAGAAACGCTCTGGCGTTGTTGTGACAAGACTTTGAGGCACAGTTCAAAATGCTTTCTGAATCAGCGTATACCTTGACGGTCATGGATAGACATCGCCATGTCTATTTGGGATAGTTTCATCAGTTATTCTCACATTTCTTTCAGAGAAGTGAGAAAAATGTCTTTAAGGATATCCTAATCTATCACCTTGACTGTTATATAATTATAACGTATAGAAAATCTTTACCTTCCCTGCAGAATCTGCGGCAGCGCGGCGTTGCAAGAGAAGTTTTGCCACATCCAGACTTCCATACTTGGCTGCTACATGCAGAGGAGTAAAACCCTTCTGAAAATGTGAGAAATAAAAGTAAAATCGTATTTGTTTGTATAACTTCTCACAAAATCTTTTTATTTGTTAACATATTAAGCAAACTATACTGATTCTTCATTTGGAAAAAATACCGGTGGCATTAAATCTGTTAGCCATGAACAAGGACAAAGAAAATAATGAAATTTAACATGCAAAAGTTTGGCTTGATAGATTCCACAAAAGAAATTTTATTTTAAGGGCTTGGAGACTGAACTCTGACTTTATAGGTTTGGGATTTTTTAAAAGCCGCTAGTGTCAGTAAACTGCCTCCAATTTGTGAATGAAAAAAAAAAAGCCTTTTTCTTGTCTCTAAAATTAATAGAATTGAAACAACAGATGCCTTCTCTCCAACTCTCCTCTTTCCTTTAAACCTTTTTATAACACCTGAATTCCAAATTTATTTAAATTTTAAGATATTTTGGCAGCCATAGTGAAAACAAGTATTCGTGAATTCGTTGACATGTTTCTGCAGAAACAGCAAGATAAATGGTCTATAGAACAAAAAACGTGCACTACCAAAAAGTAACTCCCTCTCTGACTTGTCCCCTTTCCCAGAAGACTCACAACTGTCTAAAAGACCAATTGCTTTTGTAAAATACATTCTACTTCTGGCATGATGTTGAGCTGATTAACACCAGACATTTAAACACACTGAAACTTTACAACTTTTTTAGAAAGCTGCTCTCCTACACATGTTGATATGTGTACATTCAGTGTCTTGCATGCCTAAACAATGGCCTTACTCTGTACTTAGCAGTGTGTTATAAAAACAGATAAGTCTGTGGACTAAGATCTTGAGGATGGCACAGTTCCTACACCATGATCTCAAATCCATCCTCTTGGCCAGACAGTTTAATCACATGTTCTTCTGGCACTACAGTTGGAGTGGGGAAATTCTAACACTGACCAGGGCCCGTAAAACGCACAGCAAATATGCCTGGATGAGGTGCTCTAAGCAATGGCTTATCCTGGGACCATTTAAGCCCCCATCATAAACACAGAATATCCCCCAAGAAGCAATATTCCCCTTTCAGTGTCTTCAGACAAATCATTTTTAAATAAGATGACGTTTTTCTTTTTGCTTCTTTTTGAACATTTGGTATTAATAAATTCTTGGAAGGCAGTGAATCTTCTGGCTTTTTCCAAGTGTGGGACAAATGTAGGAAGTATTTCTTCCTTCTTGCATTGTCCATATAAACCAGCATAAAGCTCGCCCCCCTCCACTCGACGCACACAATGATGAGGGTGATACTCTGGATGAAGCAGTTCTTTGAGACAAACTATATGATGAGGAAGGAAACATAAACTCCTTATCTTTAAAGTCTTGCTAGAATAGTGATCCAACTCTTATAAGTTTGGAAATAATTATTAGACAAAACTCCATAAATATACTATAGAATAACAAAACCAAAGTTAGAAGGCATCGCTTGAGTCACACATACCTCTACCTTCCTCCTCTATGTTAATCCCACCATGACTTATTTACTCTCTGATATTTAGAAACACTTAAATGGCTTTAATAGTGATGAATCAACCACTTTGAGCCCTAGTCAGTTGAATATTTAGAAACACTTACATGGCTTTAAAAATGATGAATCAACCACTGTTGAGCTCTCATCAGTTTAACTCTTAAAATGCTGTTTAACATTTTATTCTATTTTCTTGCCCTAATTTACCATGGATCTAGTTATATTTTGTAAATCCTAAAAAATCTTTGAAAGAGAAGAAAGTATTTTTTATTCTCTATTTCTGTATTTTATGTATCTTAATTTTGAAGATTTATACCTTCCTCTGATAGGACAATTACTTAGTCTCTCAGGTTATTACCACATTCATTGCTTAGTTTCTATTTTTTAAGAACTTTTAAAATCCTTTCAACTTTTCAGCATGCAAAATTTCAATAATTATCAATTTCTTACATCAAAATACTTTTTATAGCCATAGGCAACCAGATAAGCCATAACAGGCAACCAGATAAGCCATAACAGCTAGTGGGCTACTCCTACTTATAAGAGGACAGAAACCACATCACTGTCTCAGTTTATATTTGCAACCTTCCTTCTCCCTGGATGCAGTCCCTATGCCTACTTAGTATGAGAGAATTGAAATTGCCCTTTCATTAATCTGAATCACTGCTACATTTGAGGGAATTATTTTGCCCCATGACAAATCCACTTGCACTAGCTCTATTTATTTTGTTCCAATTAGCTGAGCATATTCATGTTTTATTCTAAGTCATCTCCAAATTATGAATGTCAAATAGAATGTATAAAGCATAGGAAAAATTACTCTGCCCTGTCATGAAACTTGGAACATAAGTAAAATTCTTTGTTCAGTGTCATTAGTAACTAAGGAAGTGTGATATTCCGGCCCAGCTCTGTTTAAACACTGCAAATACCCAGGCAAAAGATTGGAAACTAATATGGGAATGAGAATGTCAGATAAGAGATGGCTAATGGTAGGGTTGGCAAAATGCAAGATTAAGTAAAATGAGCTTCAGTCTGGTACTACAACTCACAATACACACATCTAACGCAGTACCCTCTTCCTCATTAGTATTACCAGTTCAATGTATTTAGGAGTTTCATTTATCTTTTTGTTAAGAATATATTATAGATTTTATAACGCAAAGAAAAAGTAGTCTTTCCTTTATGAAAATCCTCTTAGAGTATTAGATACCTGTCCTAGCAACAACACTGGCATTAATTAGAATGAAATTCAACACTCTTTATTGAAGAGATATGGAATCTCACAATTCCCTTAAATCATTTAGACAATGAATCTTAAATATGTAGAGAAAGAAGTAAGTCAAGGCCCAAGGAGATCTACCTCTTGGTTCTGTATGTGGTGGAGCAGAAAGGCTGTGACTTAGGAATCCTCTTGGTCCATGTTGTCATGATGTCATTCTCCTTACCTTGGTAGCTAAGGAGTGGGCTGCTCCTGCTTCCAACAGGACTGATGCCACATCCACCTGGCCCTCCCGGGCAGAGATGTGCAGTGGTGTGTACCCATTTGTAGTGGCTGCATCTGGATGGGCCATATGTTGCAGAAGCAGTTGGACAATTTCTGTCTTACCGAGGCGGGAGGCAATATGCAAAGGTGTCTGTTCCTCCTACAACTCAAGTCAAGTAAAAAGTTAGTGCCAGGCAGACAGAACTTCACTGGTGATATGTTTCACTCATATATTTCATGATGTCTTTTTGGAATCTCTAGGAACCCAGGCCAAAAGGAAATCATTACTGTTTTGACTATGGTATATTTTACATTTTGGAATCTTATATTTGGAATCCTATATTTTGGAATTTTATTTTATTTTATTTTATTTTATTTTATTTTATTTTATTTTTTTTTTTTTTGAGACGGAGTTTCACTCTTGTTACCCAGGCTGGAGTGCAATGGCGCGATCTCGGCTCACCACAACCTCCGCCTCCTGGGTTCAGGCAATTCTCCTGCCTCAGCCTCCTGAGTAGCTGGGATTACAGGCACACGCCACCATGCCCAGCTGATTTTTTGTATTTTTAGTAGAGACGGGGTTTCACCACGTTGACCAGGATGGTCTCGATCTCTTGACCTCGTGATCCACCCGCCTCGGCCTCCCAAAGTGCTGGGATTACAGGCTTGAGCCCGGAATTTTATATTTGTGACCCGATTGGTCACAAGGTCTCCTTTCGATTTTTAAAAAGAATGTACTTCCATGAACTTGATCATTGCTTTCTGGGTATCCCAAAGTATTTCTCAACTCATTAAGGCTTCAGGTTTCACTTATGTTTAGATACAAACTAACTCATGGTTTTGAATAAGAAGGAAATCTAGTCCAAAAGTCCTAAGACCTAGATTTTCATCCAAGAGTTTTCACTTACAGGCAGGATTTATTCTGGGAACTCTATCAAGAGAAAAAGAACAAGGGATGCTGGAAAATCTTTGATTTTACTCCATTCAGCAAGCCAAGGATATAAACGCTGGTCATTTTCTTCAAGGAGAAACAGTGCACAAAGAAGATATTGTAATCTAGTTTTAAAAGACGCTTCAGAAAATGCTGCAGATAGTTCTGGAACTTGCATACAGAACTTAAAAAATGAAAGGGACTCTAGCAAGAAGCAAATAGGATGAACTATTTTCCAAGTGCTTTACATTTGAAAATAGACAATATGGCTAGGTATAAGGGACAGGAAGGACATGTTCCAGGAGGCTCAAGAAAATCAACTGACTCTGACGTGTAGCTGGAAATAATGTTTTCAGTGTTTAGAGAACCAGGCCAAATCACTGTCTTATAAAAAGAAAATTGAGTGTAACTTTAGTGATAAAAATAGGTATATCTTTACAACTGCCCAAGGGCATGTCATAATAAAAGTGAGGAAGGGAAAACTGGGCTGACTTCCAGGGCTAAGAATGAATGGAGAAAAGTAGACAGAGGAAGGAAGATCTATCCAAAAACATGCAGTATCTTAAAGTGATAAGAAAAAAGAGAGGGAGCTATAGTAAGAGATCAAATAGTACTGCATGAATTTCAAGGTAGTAGGAAATAAATAAATAATAGGAATATGATTATTTTAGTACTAGAATTGAAATTTTGTGAACATTTGCAGTTGATAAGCTTTCTTCATATATGATGCATACATGACCCAATCCTCCTAATAGAGTTAAAAGGAAAACCTAAAATGTATTATTAGACCATTTTCCAGATCGAGATTAAGAAAAATTAAATGAGTACTCAAGGAATGTCCAAGTTTACTCAGCTATTAAAACAGAACTTGAATTCAGGGCATTGGATTCTAAAGACATTTCTCTACCTATACTGTCTTTGGCAATAAATACTACGATAAGATGGTCACTAAGAGACCTGTCAGGGCAAAGTGACTCTTAGTAGGAAAGGAGACTGACAATACATTAGAAGATAAAATTTCTCTGAAATACAGAGGAGAAAATAGAGGGGTGGGGAGAATAAACATTTTTTATGTATAATTAAAATGAACATATTTTTATTTATAAAAAATAAATGGTTAGCAAAACAGACAATTTAAAAACTGAGGAACTTGAGAATAGCTATGATGAACACTTGTTGTTTCTGGGGTTCCCCTCCCAGATCTCTGCCCTGCAGAGATAGAGGTGGATGTGTATTGCAAGTGACGTGCTCTAAAATATATTTTCCATCAGTAAGAGAGATAGTTGGGGTGATGATGACTTTTAATACAGTGCTGAGAAGTGGCAATCATCGACTGGAGGTAGCTAAGTAATTGGTTAATTATTAACTATTGATCCTTGGTTCTTAAACTGCATAGCATTAATGTTCTTCTTCAAAAAAAAAAAAAAAAAAAGTTAAGAAATAGAATGTCTTGCCTACTTCTTTCCATTTTTGTTAAGGTTCTACCTGAAAGTGAAAAAAAGAAAGAACATACAAATTTTGCAAAGGAAATCTTTCAACCTGTAACCAGGGATATAAGACCTTTGAGGACTGGCCAAATATCTCCCTGCTGAATTGCCAAAAGTTGAATTTACTGCCTCAGGGTAATGATAATTCAAACCAGGGCAAAGAATTGGGAAAGAGCAGAGAAAAGATTCATGGGAAAAGGTAAAGAAATGGGGAAAGCCTGATTACCTAGACCTTTTCCGGAAATGAGAGGCAACAATTCCCTCATTATAAAGCATTTTATCTGATATAGGCTGGACCAGAAGCAGAAGAGCTGTGCTTTGCCACTGCAGTCTATCCTTTTACTTTGGAGACTTGCTGAGCACCCCCCCCCCCGCCAACTCTTTTTACAAAGAGAAAAACAACACTGGCTGGGATAAAGTTCAGAGATTTGAAAACATTTCTATTACTAGTTACTGGCTAACAGGGTTCCTAGGAGCACATCTCCTAGCATCTAACTAAAGTTCTAAATGAGCTAAGTTTCAAGCGAGTTTAAGCCTAAGACCCCTGGGATGGCATGATCCCTAAAGCAAATGAAAAGCCTTGTAATTGTGCCAACAAAACCAGCTCCTAAAACAAGAGAGCTCCCAGATGGACAGGCTCTGGTGGCCCTCTCAGTAGTGTCCATTGAGGACACTGGACAAGGAAGGGTCTTCCTAAGAGCAGGACCTGGGGGAAAACACACTGGCTGACAGAGGAACTGAGGCCACTGTGGCCCCTGCTCTCCAGTCTGTCCAGCAAAATGTGTCTTATGCTCTGGAGTAGTGAATAGACTGTGCTGCCATGTACTTCAAAAATTACAGATACTATTATGAGTATATGGTTTTTCTTTTGTTATATATTGTGAATAGGTAAAACATATGATTTAGCCCTATGATTATATACCCATGAGATACTATTTCTAAACTTGATTGAGAAGATTGTGAACTACCCAGCAATCTTGACCTTGGAGCTCAATGTAGTAGCTGGGCACAATTTTTTACTATCTCTTCTTCGGGAGAGGGCGAATTCTAGGGCAATGTTACTGGGTTTAGAGAGGAAGTTTTCAAAAGTGTGTGTGGTTGTGGGTGTGTGTGAGGGTGTGTGTGTATGTGTGTGCACGTGCACTGGGAAATCAAAAGGTAAAATAGAAGATATGTGCTCATTTTTCCACCCAATACTCCCTGCACCCTTCTGTGACAGCCCTCCTTCATTTAGGGGAATTAGGTATCCTATATTCCCTGTGGTTCTAGAAGGGCTGCCAGTCTTCTTACCCCACCTCATAAATAGGCCACGAGTGGACAGGAGCTCAAGTCATAGCTTAGGGAGAAAATATGACTAATTATAAACCAGTGATTTGTTTGAATGGGAGAGAGAAGGGCTCTCTTTACATCTGAAGTGGGAGGTAATGACGTTTATGAGAAAGAGTTAGGAGAAAGATGCAGAATCAGAGGAGAAATGTTTTTCTTATCTTAACTCTGTCACCACAAGTTAATCAGCACCATTTTGAAATTCAGGACACTAAGCCACCCTACAACACAGGATTGCTCTGGGTATCAAATAAGACACTTTGTGTTTAAATGCTTGATGAATTCTAAAGCACTGTTCAAATGTTAACTAAATCAAAGAGTCCCAGGAACACATTAAAAGGATTGACAATAAAAAACCTCACGGTGAACGTACACCTTAAAATAGGACTTGTGAACAGGAAAGCCCTAACTCCTTGCTGCTTGAAACATAATCCCCAAATCAGGGTCCCTGACATCATCTGAGAGTTTGTTAGATCTGCAGAACTGGATTACAGTATGCATTCTAGCAGGGCCTCTAGGTAATTTGTATGTGTATTAACCTTTAGGGAGCACTGCTTCATAATAGAAAATGCTATAGGGAAGGGATTTCAGTTGTAGCTTAGAATGGGAGGTAGAGCTGAAAAAAAAATAAAAGATAACATCTGAAATTTGATATTTAAATTAGAAGAAATAAGGAATTAAGAGATATTTATATATGTAGACAAGGATACTAAATGTAGTTGCAAATGAGAAGTAAAAAGAAAGTAGAATTAATAAAATCTGTGTGTAAAATTAACTAATTAATATTTCTAAAGGAAAGAGTCTGTTGCCAGTGGTGCTTTTAAGGAAGAGGCTTCAGAGGGTATCCAAAAAGATAAAAGTCTGTAATAATGGGTTATATCAATACAGAAAAATTTGGCAGAGATATATTAAAATGAATAAATTTCCATTAAAAGTAGAAATTTTAATTTGAATAATAGAAAAACATTAAGGGGTTTTACTTTAGGAGAGAGAAATGGGAAACCCTTTCATTATTAAACATGGATTACAAAAAATTTACAGGAACATCAACCCAATTTCCAGTAAAGTACACGATACTCAGAGTGCACTGGTTGACCATAGAAATATTTTTAAAATAGCTGAATGCCAGGTAACCTTAAAAGGAAACCAGAAAAATCCTGTGGCAGGGGAAGCTCATGGTTGAATAAAGCTTTAAATAGATGAGAATATAATAGATCAATGATGATTACCAAAGAACATAAATTACACTGTGTGGACAATGGATAGCAAGGCAGATGAAAACCAAGACAAGAGTAATGTTAAGGCTGCCTGTGTATCACTGGATTCCGCCTGAAGATGTGTGGAACCTGTTACAAGAAAATGTCTATGAAATTCATTGAATCAAAGAATGTTAAGAAAGTGTGGAAAGGAGTTTTG